TAGTGATTTTCTTTCTGAAATCCATACGCCCGAGTTTTTGAATAGCATCAAATGTTCGGGAATTCCAAATCATCAGTTGCATTTGAAGATTGGAACCCCTGTCATGTTGTTGCGGAATATGGATCATTCTATGGGTTTATGTAATGGGACGCGGTTGGTTGTGACAAGACTATCCGCTTATGTTCTTGAGTGTAAGATACTCTCTGGGGATCACGAAGGAGAGAAGGTGTTGATTCCTAGAATGGCGATAACTCCTTCCGATGTTAGAATTCCTTTCAAGTTTCAGAGACGACAATTTCCTATTATGGTATCGTATGCCATGACTATCAACAGGAGCCAGGGACAATCGTTATCGCATGTTGGTTTATTTCTTAAGAAGCCGGTGTTCAGCCATGGGCAATTATACGTTGCTGCCTCCCGTGTCACCACTCGAAGTGGGTTGAAGATATTAGTCTGTAATGACGATGACGTGTCGCCCAATAAGACCCAAAACGTTGTGTACAAAGAAGTGTTTACTAATTTATGAAGTTTTTAATTTGTTTTTCTCTATTTTACATTTGTTACATATCTACAAAGTGCATTAAATTTAATGTTAATATTTAAAAGTTTCAAAAAAATATACCAGCCGTGCATCGCACGGGTCAGTACTAGTAATAAAATAAAATGCATACATATAAATTATAGTCATTCAAAAAATCGGATGAATACGAAGAATTAAAAAAAGCATTCGATGTAACAACAAAATAATAACATACCAATAGTTAATCAACATGAAAACAACATTTAAGTAACAAAAAAACAATTGTTATCGCATAAATAAGAAAGCACATTTGAAGAGCATACTCGATCCCATTGCTTTGGAACTTGAAACAGATCCAATATCCAAAGACATCAAACACAACAGATTAGAAAAGTAGATAACAAATTGGAAACCCAATAAAAATTGCAATTAATGTTCAGCAAAGCACAATAGATAAAAATATAAAGAAGAAAAGGAAATCTCCTCTCTATATCTCTAGACAAAAAGCAAAATAGAGATTTCATGAAGACCATATGAGATCATAAAAAGAATAACCTAAAAAAAAAAGAAAAATACCGAGTTTCAATTCTCTCCGGCCCTCCTAATCGGCTTGCACTGAGTCTTTCTTCCAATCGACAAAGCCCAAGGAAACGAATTGGGGGAATATTTTGGGACTGGATCTGGGGAAAATTATAACTGAGAGAAAAAATTTTGGAAAACTTTTTGAAGAGAAGTAAGAAACAAAAAAAATAAGTACCGGAAGAAGAAACACAAGAAGGAAGAAGAAAATGATGAATAAAAAAAATAAAAATTGAAACAATGGCGTGTTAAATAAAAAAAACTGACAGACAGTCAACTAATAAAAAATAATTAGAAAAAAAAAAGTGGGAAACGGTTTTTAGAGGCAGATAATGCTACAAAAAAGAGTATAAGTGGAAACATAATCTCCTTTATTGACTAAATAATATTCAGTTTCATCTATATATATATAATAAGAATTAACATTTACCATAAATAGTAGTAAGAAAAAGTCAACCCACATTTATTATATACTATTTTTAGCAATTTTTTTATTTTACATTTTAATTTTAATTCATTATCAAAAAATTGGATGGTTCCTAAATTAATGGGTTTTAGATGACGTATCCTGTTTCAAAAATTATAAATCATTTAAAATCGGATGGTTCCTAAATTAATGGTTACAAACTTTTCAAAGTTGTAATCTTTATGACATCTTTTCTTTTTGACTTTTAATAATAAAATCATTTTAAATATATATATTCTAATCTAGAAATTCAATCATGTTATATATATATATATACTCAATCAATTAATCTTGAATTTTTTTTTAAATTACTATGTTTATTTTTTATTAATATGCATAAAATAGAAATAAATAATTCATCTTTAGATATATAATTTATAATCTTAATATACTATCATTTGGTGTAGACATATGAATCATAAATTTTTTTCTTATTTCATAAAAATTAAATATTATATTTAAAGAAAATAATGAAATTACTTTGGATCAATCGGGTGATTGAATCAGGGTACTGCCCACGTTGTGAATTACTTTTAGGTGATATTTAAAATAGTAAAAAAACTTGACATATCTTGGTTGGTCCCAGGTAACTAAGTTATGTATCAGTTTGACCAGACCAAATCGATTATTGAACCTAAATATAAATTTTAATATTGAAAATACTTTATTATGTAGTCCAAACTTCAAATAATCATATTAACAATACTTTTACGACAACATGATTAATGATTTATGAATATTTATATATCATTTTATTATTATTATGTGAACAAAATAATTATTTTATTATCATGTTTATTAATGTACGATAAATATAAGGTTTTCAGAACCAGAACGTCATCGAAACGATCAAGTTATTTTATTAAATCATTTGTGGTTGTTCAGATTTTAATACATAATACTTTAATTAATATATATATATATATATATTACTTTTTGCAATAAATTTAAATAAAAAGTGTTACTTAAATATCTAAACAATTTATAAATTTAAATTTTTAAACTAATTGATAAACAATTTATAAATCTCTATTTTATTTAAATATGTAATTTTATTTAAAATAATTTTTAATGTAACAAAATTTGTTTAGAAAATCGTATCGATCCTACCAATCCAACATACTGATGTTGACGAATTCGATAGCAAATATTTTATTCAAGCACAATAGACTGGTTATAAACCGGTTCTCGGTCCATCCGGTCGGAATGTGTCCAACCCGGTTTAATTTAAAAATAATGAGTAAATCATGATTAATGTTATTTATTTATTTAATTTATAATACAATCAAAATATTGTTTTCCCGTGCATCGCACGGGCCACACACTAGTTTATGTAAACAGTTTTTAATAAGACATAAGGGGTGTCAATTGCTGAACATAACAAAACTTTGGGCCCATTTCACGTTAACTTCCATGAATGATGTAATGCTCAGTTATCTATATATTACCGAGTTGGAAAAGAGATTCATGATTGAGGGATATACCCAAAAATCTAGGAGAACTTATTTCCAAACATTATCTCCTTCACACAGTTTTTCAAATATCTTCAAGAATCGTTTGTTTAGGAAATCATATTTGACAACAAACTAAGATATTTTTTTTCCAATTGAGCAGATTTTGAGGTTAAAGTAAGACAGCAAAGAAAATTTCCTACTCTTATCTCAGACCTTCACCTATAAAAGAGACTCCTCTTATAATCGATTTCAAGACTCAAAGCCACGAAAGAGAGGTATTTATCTCTTCTTGCTTGCCCCTTTTTTTTTCCTGTTTGTCTTTTATCTCTACTAATCTTTTTTTTTATTTTTTTTATAGCGCACGATCAACAACTACCAACAATTACGTTTGCCCGCTTTTGGTGACATCAAGCTTCATTTTCGAACAATTTTTTGTTTACATCCAATTTATCGATTTTCAGTCTGTATTTTTGATTTTTTTTGTAATAGCTGAGATTTGTTTATTTGAACAATTTTCCCTTTTCAGGAAAATGGCTTCAATTACAGGATTTTCTGCAGAAATCACCGAAGCTTTCCGTAAGATTACCGACGCCCACAAAGAAAAATGCCTTCAATTTGCGAATGAAGTCTTAATGGCTTTGGACGGCCGTTACCAACTCCGTCTCGAAGGAGAAGATATCTACGTCGACAGACTTCCTCTTAAACCCGAAGAAGAGGCTCCCGTGGTGCAGCCCCGACATAATCGTAAACGAAGCAACCCAACTAAATAAAATATGACTTTTTTTATTTAGTTGAAAATTGGTTAAATGATCATCGTGTTTCATAAATCATAATGTTAGATGTTTGGTAACTTTGGTTCTCAAATGGTGGTTCATTTTCTTTTATTATTATTATTATTATTATTATTATTATTATGACTAGNGTATTAATTTTCATTTTCTTTGTCCAATCTTATAATATGATATTATTAATTTAGGAAAGAAGTACATTTGGATTGAATGACTAATGGGATTAAATAAGTCATGCAAAGTGCTATAATTTTGTACAATTATCATCTAAATATATTTTTATATTAAAGTTTGATTATTTATGCTATAAAGTGGCGAAATCATGACGGCCAGAAATTTTTGGGTATAATATTTTATATATATTTATTTTGGTATGCTTTGGTCTCCACATGATTCATATTTTATTTTTAAACCCGTCAATCCGTATTTATTAATCTTATATTTTTCCCTTTTCAATATCATTTCATTACAATTTCTTTATTAAATAAATTTTACTATTGATTTAGATTTTTTTAATAAAATTTATTGATTTACTTGCGTAGCTCTGTCCTGTCCATAGCATTCATCTTATACATTGGAAATTAAATAAATACTAAAATATTTGATTAAAATATGAGTAGATATATACACTAAATAGATTTCTTTTAAGGTTATCAAATACGACATCATAATTTAACAAATTTATCTTGAAAATTTTGTTAAAAATAATACAAAGTGGATGTAATTGTAAACTACTATTTTCAATTATTAAATTTGTGATATTATTACAAGCAAATTACATACTCAATCAATTTGTCAATCTAAATTATTAACAAAAATCATAATACTCATAGTATAAAATCATAATATTCATAACATATATAGTTCAACAAATTAAAAACATAAGTTAATTAATAAATTAAGTTACAAATATTATTATAATATTAAATAATGTTCCACCATATTTATACTTCAACTTAGGATTGTTTAATCCAACTTCTGCTGGTTCTCTCCTTTGGGAGAAAAACCAATATTGTAAGCCAATATGAAGAGAACATACGGGGACACGGAAATGCTCACATGCACACGGTAGACACATGTTAATATGCCCACCGCTTATGTGACATGCACACATTGGTGATGTTAATATGTTAAAAAAAAAATACATCATCAATATATGCATGCCACATAAGCGGTGGGCATATTAACATGTGTCCACCGTGAGCATGTGAGCATTTCTCCATACCGAGAACCAAAAAAAATCATAGATAAAACATGGCCTAGATAGCAACAAAACTGAATTTGGAGGTTTAATATTACTAAAAAGCTCACTTCCGATACAAATATCTAAAATGCAATAAAATTTGGTTCAAAATACGAATATAAAAATATATGGTGTCCAAGTAAAAACTAGTTGAGATGGTTGAAATGTGAAGGATGAACCCTTTTATATGATCCCGATTTTGTTGGCCACATCCAAAGCATCAAAGTCAGGCGTCAATCTAACATAAGCCTTCTTCGTACCATCAGGCCTGACAAGACAAAAATATTCAGGAGCAAGTCAATAAATATGGGGTAATAACTACAATGCACTTTAAAGAAACTCATATTTTGTTTAGCACTTCCACATAAATGAAAATGTAACATCTGAATCTATGAAAAGGAAAATTTGAATTTGACATACTAAATGATAGACACTTTTGAGTATTGGAACACAAATACTGTTCTGTCAAGTGAATTTCATTTGGAAAGCTTTTTAACAAAATCAAAAAAAAAAAAATCACAGACTATATCAGTATATTAGTTATAAGATACACACTGAATGGACTCTCCTAGATTCCAAATAAGTAGTCACATGGTCAAAATATGTTAATAGGCCTCATGATTGACCAACAAACATAGAGAAATGGAATAATAAAGTGACTATATTACACATAGAAGCATAAGCTAATTAAAAAAGGAGACGACTAATCATTTTTTTATAAAGTATATGACATCATGCAACTAACTTACCTCAACACAAGAAAAGGTAAAGACTAAAAAACCCATCTTCACTACACTTAATCCAGAATTTCACGATTCCAATTAGCCAATAATCGATAATATGAAACCACGCGAACCACAAGAAATATTTTCTCCATACCTGATGAGAGTGTTGACCTTTCTGGTCTGAATGTCGTACATCTTCTTAACAGCATCCTTAATCTTCTTCTTGTCAGCACGAATGTCGACAATAAAAACAAGGGTGTTATTGTCCTCAATCTTCTTCATGGCTGATTCAGTGGTCAGAGGGTACTTCAAAATCTGGTACTGATCGAGCTTCTGGCGTGGTGGTGCACTAATACGTGGGTACTTTGGGTTTCTTTCCTTCTTCAAGGTCCTCGGACGGTGAAAAGTGACCTTGGTGCGTATTTTCTTGGCTTTCTTCTTGAAGGCTGCTCCCCCAGATTTTACAGCCTTGGCTGTCTTCAAGGCCTGAGCCTTTGGGTCTGATTTTTTAGTCGAATCAACTGCAAATTTACATATATAAGATTCACAATTCAACAACACATGCTAAGAGAAAGGCATTTAAAGGAGAAGTTACAAAACAACAAACGACGAATTTGGGGGAGGTATAAATCTGCCCGTGGGCTCGACTAGACTTAGCTCATTTGATAATTGAGTTGAGTTCGAGATTTCTTCCGAGCTCAGCTCGCTAAGGCTGAGTTCGACTCGTTAGTAACGATGAAAGAATGGAACTCGAGCGTGTTTATCAGCTAGGCATGAAAAAGGATCAAGCTCGTTCATCAACTTGAGTATAGTACATGCCATTTCACTCAAATGATGCTTAATTTGTCAAAAGATGTTATTTTTAGATGTGAATTCAGTATAAATGTAAATTGATATAAAAAAGAATCAACAATAAGAATAGCTATCAGGGGAACTTAAGTGTGACATTACTCAGGACTATGAGTAAATATGTATCTCCAATAAAAAAACAATGTAGAAACTAATAATTTCAAGAAGTTTCACCAAAAAGAAATAACAAACAAAACCACTAAATTTCTTTCAACACATGAAAATTCATCATCCGTACCAATTTTACCTCAAAGCTGACACAGATTTTACAAGCACAAGACAACATCATACTATCACAACTCAAAAATTATCATATTAATAGCTTCATTTGAAGCTTCCAAACAGCTTTTGCATTATCTTCCACACATTCATTTGAAACATGAAGCAACTGTCAAAAATTCGAAAAATCATACACCGAAATTGCAATGAACTGCACGAAAATCAGAAAGCGGATCAATATTCAGAAAACACTAGCTGGAAACATCAGATACTCAGCGAAAGTCCTTGCAATGCTAGCTCATTCATAAATAATTACGAAAAATTAAGAACAAAGTGAAGAATGGGTACCTTTAGCTGGTGCCATTTTGAACCTTGAGCAACAACTTCTACACTTCTTATTGAGATCTCACCTGGAAAAAAAATAGCAGTTTAACGAACTAACATACAGTAAGTTGCAGAGAAGAACAAATGAAGGATCGAACGGATAAAAAGAAGTGTGAAAATCACAGACGAAAATACCTTGGAACTGCGAGGCTAGGGTTTGGGAAGAGCGGCGATTTTGTGAGGTTATTATAGGGCTTGCCGCGCTTTAGGCAGCCCATTTACTCAACGTACTGGAGTGGGCTGTATGTTGGGCTACAGCCCACACTAGTAATAAAAGATGGACTATTGCTATATCTATCTTATACACCATGAAAGCCTCACGAAAGCCTATCATGCTTGAATACAAATTCAACCTAAAAAATTCAATTAATTTTAATTAAATTATTTTTTTTAACTCAACATTCGACTATCATCAGTATTATTAATATAATTAAATAATATCAATCAATCATTCTTACACACAACATCAACCTTAATTCACTATTCACCAACTCAAATAATTTTAACTAACTATCACATCACATCTTCTCTCTCCTACTTTTACATCAATTTAATTTTAATTATTTTATTTTAAATATTATTTTAATATATCCACTAACAACTAACCATACCAACTTTTTCAAATTTAACCAACCCAAACTAAAAATCCAATCAAAACAAAAACTTTTTATATCCAAGAATGCTACAATTATTAAATATAAATTATAAATGTAGATAGTATAACTTATATATGAATCACTTTATTTGTAACATAAATTACAATAAATAATAAATTTTATAATTTTAAATAATCATTACCATTATAATTTTAGAAATTATGCATATATTTATAAGGAATTTTAATTATGCCATTTAAATTAAGTAATTATCATTAAATCAAAATCGCTTAATGAAATGAAACATATAATATTGATATTAGAATAAAGAGCTTGAAGTTGTTTTTTTTCTTTTCGCATAGAATTCTTATATTTATAATTAGTTATTATTATTATTATTATTATTATTATTATTATTATTATTATTATTATTATTATTATTATTTAACATAATAGTTACAATAATATAATTACACTTAAATCGATATGAAATGTAACAGTTAACTTTTATATTAACTGAAAAATGATTGTTGATTGTAGTTTAACGTTATATTTTGTAATTTATTAATGTGCATAAAATAATCAATATGTAAAAGTAAACTAAAAATACATGAAAATGAAATATTTTGTATTAAATTTTTGGTCCACAATTATATGTATATTCAAAACTTTTCCTTTTCTCTCTCCAGACTCCAGTGAACCAAGATTCCCTTTTCTTTTACCTCGGTCGGCGCCAATTTCCCTTCAGCGTAGCCCTCATGCCGGCATTTTTCCGGCTATCTCAACCCGATTCGGGTCGGCTATGGTGGTCTGGCGTCTTGACTGGCCCTCTCTCCGAGTTCCCGATGGCCTTGGCAGTGGGTTGGGGGTGTCCGACGAGTCGCTGGTTCTTCCATGGTCGCCGGCTTTGAGCGCTGCTAAGTCAGCTTTTTGGGGTCTGAGTTTTCGCAGCAATCTCATGTTTGGGTTCAGCCGATCTCTGGTGTTGGGATCGATGGGCTTCATCAGCAACAACAGCCTCCCGCCTCGATGGGGGGAGGGGGGGCTGTGGTCTTCGGTTTGTGTTTGAGCGCAGATTATTGTGAGCTGCTCGAGTTTACCGATGGTAGTTGCCGTTGGAAGTGTATGTGGTATTCGGGCGGGTTCTGGTTAGCCGGCTTCGGTCTGGAGTTTCTTGCCTCGTGCTCGATGTNAAAAAAAAGATCATTATCTTAGGAAATGTATCGTAACGCTTGGGGGGCTGGGTAGATACACAATAGGCCCTAGGCTTTATTAAAGCCCATAATGCCCATACACTGAAAATCTTCTCCAACAGTGAAAGATGATATTCATAATAAGACCAAGAAATGTAAATAAACAAGAACATGAATACTATTCGAATCATTCGTCTCTAGGTTTGGGTTTTTCTCAAATTTGGAATGTCGTGGCTTGAAGAACGCTCGCTATTTATGGCTATTTTAGTCTCATGTGGTTTTTCGGCGATAATTTATAACTTATAAGTGTTAAGACTTTAATTTCTAAAATTAAAATAGCAAAAATATATATTTTAAATCTCCTAATTGTTTAATGTCAGAATCCTCATTCACACATTTTTTAATTATTATAAAATATATAAAAAAAAAATTAAAAGATACTTAAAGTAATAAACGTGAAATTAAGATAACTTTGGCATCTGGTATGTGAAAAATCACATTTTTGTAAATAATAAATACTTGGACAATCTAGTATCAATTACGTGTGTGTTTTTTTATTAAGTATTATCCACAATTACTATGTAACCTCAATTGTAGATCAAGTAGATGTTTCAAAAATTTGATTGTGAATAACTCATCAATTAGTTGATAGCGATAGCTAATTTAGATTAATAGTTTTGAAGAGATAAATGTAGTAGTTAATTATGGTTTGGTAAATAATATTTCACAAACTGAAATGTAATAACTTATTATGCAAAAGTACTAAAAAAATAAATAATTGTTTGATATAGTAACGAAAAACTTAAAAAGTAACTTAAATATCAAAACAATTTAAAATATATCACCCCAAAGAATTGAAAAAAAAATCTAATTGGGCGGCAAATGGGTCCAATCCGGGGTTTCTCCTGCCCAGGCCCACAACTGACCACGTCGAGTACCCATCAAAAATAAATAAATAAATAAAAATAAAAAAAAAACAACGGCCGCCATAACGAAATCTACTGTAATCCCCTCCCAGCCAATAGCGTGGCTTTTCCCACGTGGGACTACTGACCACGCCATACGTGACATGCACCTGATCACCCCCCACCCTCTTATTATATATTTCGTTATTAAATTAAAAATCTCTCATTTTCACTTTCATCACTAGAAAGGCTCAAACAACCTTCTGCAATTAGCCTATTTGTTCTCGTATGTTCTTTAGAAAATTATATTCAAGAATTGTATCAAAGAGTGAATAAATAGGAATCTGGGTAAGAATATAATTTCATATTTATTCACAATTCATGTCCTTTTTTTTAAATAATTATTGTATTAATTAATTCTTCTTTCTTAATTAATCTCAGTGTTTTTTATATTTTTTTTTCTCAAATTTATGCAGATAAAGAGTTGATCGATGGGATCATCGTCAGATTCACCAGCTCAATATATCCACATGGTGATTTTATTGCATAATTTGTGAAATTTACATATATACATAGATGATAGATCTACTAATCAATTTATAGTTTTTTCTTTTCTTTTTCTTTTCTTTTTTTTTTTCTTCAATTTCATGTGTTGAATTTCTTGTATTCTATACTTCTTGTTATTATGAATTTAACTTCATTAAAGGGTTTATTCATCAAATTCATTTAACGAGAATGAACGAAATGAGACATGAAAGTGAATATAATATTTTATCCGAATAAATTTTTTCATGTATATTGTTATTATTTTATTTTGAACACATTTTTTATAATATATGTGTAGAATAATGTTATTTTAATGGGATGCATATATTTATGTATGTATAGGTACACCGCTTAATAGAAGAGTGTCTAGTGTTCAACATGAGCAAAGAGGAATGCATGGAAACTCTCTCCAAGCATGCAAATATCCAACCAATAATTACCTCCACTGGTAATATGATACTCCCTCCGTTTTTTATTAAATGTCGTTTTGACTTTTTTGATTCATCCATTTTGCTACGTATCTAGACATATTTAATGTCTAGATACGTAACAAAATGGATGAATCAAAAAAGTCAAAACGACATCTAATTTGAAACAGAGGGAGTATATCTTTATGATCTTTTTATGATGTATTTATCAGAATACACCACATAAATTTAAATACAAAATTAATGATCAATCATGCTAGTTATTTGGGAAAAACATTTGTGATTTTATTAGCTGGTGTTCATCTACTGTCTCTATTTTGATATGTATGTTGTGCAGAAAAAAAATAAGAATATTTTCTCTCCAATGATGATTGTCAATTGTAGAATGAATTGATATGTGTAAAATAATTAATTGGTGGAGAGAGAAATATAAAATAAATAATATAATATTGAATAGAAGATGTCTAGAATTCTTTTTGCATCTAGAAAGACTTTTCGAAATTTTACATGTCACATTGGATTTTTTAGGTCACGTGTGACAATGGAATAGAACAATGCACAAATCATTGTAGATGTTCTGAGTATTTCTAGCAATTGCAAAAGTTTCTAGACAAAATTTCAATATATATATATATATTTACTAAACACATTTTGTAATTTTGCAGGTATAAAAATTAATCTTCAATAATTTGATGAATTTTCAATTCAACAATATTTATTATTCAACAATTACATATATGTGCTATTCTCCTGCGTGTTACTAGTTATGAAATCGAGTTTAAGATTATGTGAAGTCATATTTTTGAAAGTATACACTTTTATTAAAAATAAAATCAGTTGACACATGATTTCAAAGTCTCATACAATAATTTCTACTAAATTACGTGCCCCATATATATATATATATATAGGGGGCGGATCAAATGCGCCCAGCTCTTAAAATGCGGACAACTTTTAGCAACTATAGAGAACTAACTTAGCAACAATAAAGAACTAACTTAGCAACAATAGAGAACTAACATAGTAACTACAAACAACTAACCTAGCAACTACAGAGAACTAACCTAGCAACTACAAGAACTAACTTAGCAACAATAGAGAACTAACATAGTAACTACAAACAACTAACCTAGCAACTACAGAGAACTAACCTAGCAACTACAAAGGACGAAGAGGGTTGAGCGCAGTGGCGCATACCTCGCTCGACGTATCCCAGATCCCGAGTTCGAGTCACCGGGGGAGGAATTTTGTTTAAGAAAAAAAACCTAGCAACTACAAAGAACTAACTTAGCAACTACTAACCTGGCAACTAAAGAGAACTAACCTAACAACTATAGAGAACTAACCTAGCAACTACAGAGAACTAGTCTAGCAACTACAGATAACTAACCTAGTTGGAAGGTTAGTAGTCAACGGTCAATGTCGGAGTCAACGCCGAAAGTCAACGGATTTCGTCGGATGTCAACGGTCAACGCCGGAGTCAACGGGTCAAAATAATATTTAAATAATTAAAATAATAAAAAGAAAATAGTAAATCTTAGCCACACATGATGTATCAAATCTTGTGGCTAGGAATAAGTCTCACGTTTATACTTAAATAAGTGGATGCATTGAAACCAATTTCTATATATATATATGTATATATATATCTGTCTATATATAGATATGAATCGAGTTTAAGATATTTTTGAAAGTATACACTTCTATTAAAAATAAAATCAGTTGACTCATGATTTCACAGTCTCATACAATAATTTATATTAAATTACGTGCCATAAAAAAATATTTTTTAAATTTATCTGTCTATATATCTATATATATTTATTTATTTTTTTTACGAATATATATTTATTAATTGATTGATGTAAATATAGTGTGGAAGGAACTAGAGAAAGAGAACAAGCAATTTTTCGAGGCCTACGGGAAAACGCTAAAGACAAGATCCAAATCTGAGACTGGATCCAGTCAAAGCCCAATAAGCCAAGATTCGCTATCGGGGCAGCCTAGGAAAGATACAGATATCTGATGATTTAATCTGTTGGGCCCAGACAGCGACCCAAGGAGTGGGCTTTAAGCATTTGGACCTCGCGTTGTCGGCCCACGTGCATGGAATGTCGTACCATCTCTTTATACGCTGCCTTAAAGTTAGTAGGAAAACAATAAAGACAACAAGAAAAGAAAAGAAAAAAAAAAAAAAAACTTTTTTTTTGGTCGTTGGAATGTGTGATCAGTGATGTATGGATGACACTTGATGTTAGGTCTTGACACGAGACGTGCATGTGGCTTTGTCTGATTGGCTGTGTCATTTGTGTCGGAGAGAATAATAAAAAATATTCTTTAAAAAGGAATTTACACGTCAATTTTATTTTATTTTTTCGATTGGGTTTTATAGACCATTAGTAAATAAATATTTGTAATTTACACTGTAAGAACGGGTATCATAATTCAGGTTGTTAGCTTTCCCATTGTACCTGATTTGTAACAATATACTACCGATTATGAATATCTTTTTATGAGGAATAAACGAATAGTGTCGTGCCAAATCAAATGTTACTCATTCGCAGCTAATATATTATGTCGATAGTTAAACATCAACTAACAATCAACAAACTACTTATTCAAATCAAAATCGACAAATTATACATTATTTTGTATATCTTATCACTGTTATCAGTAGCTCCAAATCTTTTTATTTTTCTTCGAAACAGTTGAAATATATTAATAAATAATATATAACAGTTAAGTCAAACATCTATGAAGTTTACTAAAGTTGAATCTAGTCAAGAGAGCTGTTAATAGACATTGTTAAGAGAACTGTTTATATCTCAGTATGAAATATGACATTTCAATATGTTATGAAACAAAGTGTCAATTATCATTTCATGAGGGAAAATATATATATATATATATATATGATAATTTTAATATGTTAATTGTTAAGAAACAAAGTGACAATAACCATTTCATGAGGGAAATATATATATATATATTATCAATGCACGTCAAAACGAAAGCATAAGAGTCCGTTTCTTGAGAGGATAAATACTATTTTAGTCCTTCGGTACACTTTTTAAAAACTTTTATAGAAATTTAAAGAAATTACATTCAAAATAAAACTCATATAAACTATTAACAAATGACTCATAAATCAAATAACAATGCAATTTAGAAATTAATGAAAAATAAATAACAGATCCAACATACATAAACAATAAAAATTGATATTTGTATTAAAAAATAAAACTTCTTAATGGTAAAATTAAAAAATAAATTGTGACACGTATTATTCTCTAAAATTTTTCAAGTGGCCCAGACTCTAAAGACCAATACTATCTAGTTAGCACTCAGCAGTACGCCCTTATTGGGCCAACTCACGACCCATTAGAACAATCCTAATTAATTCCACTATTTTTAAACTTCCTTTAAGCCCATCTAAAACATTGGGCCACAAGGACTTGGAATCTCTCATTCAACACCACAAGTAAACTCGCACCACGACCCAAGCCCAAAAAACAGCTGCTTAAAATAAGTTGTGAATGTTCGCGCTTCATCTATCTACTTCAGTTTTCGCCTCAAAACCCACGCCATGAATACTCTGAACCCACTCGCCGCCAAGCCCGCCGGCAGCCGCCCGCAGCTCATCCACCACCGTCAATCTCATTCCAGACGCATATATCCTCTATATTCCCGACCACCAGCTCCGCCTCCGCCTCCGCCTTCACATTTCCCTCGCTCCGCCGTGAGAGCCTCTGCTCACAACCCAAACCCTAGCCGCCCCAAAAATCCCCCAAACCTAGCTACAATCCCCGCGATCCCGAATTCGTCTCCGATAAAGCACGCGCTCATCGCCGCCGCCGCTATTTTCCTCTCCGGCTTTCATTTCCCACAGAAACCCGCCGTCGCCGCTCCAACCTCCCCGGCGCCGGCCGCAATCGAAACCACCGTCGACGACTCAGTTCCGAACGAGGAAAAGGAGAAACCAGCCGGAGATCGGCCGTCCGCCGCCTCAGTCGAAACCACCGCCAAAGACTCCGATTCGAACGAGGAAAACGCAAATCCAGCCGGAGAACAGCCTCCGGCCGCCACAGTCGAAACCACCACCAAAGATTCCGATTCAAACAAGGAAAACGATTCCAACTACATCGACGAGCTGAAGCGTTCGTTCGAGTTCAAACTAGAAACCAGAGACTTACCAGAAGCTGCTCTCATTCTCGATAAGCTTACGGAGCTCGAGCCCGACGTGATCGGTTGGCGAATGCTGAGGGCCGATCTGTACACAAACACTGGGGAATTCCAATTAGCTCGTGAAATTTATCACGACTTGCTCCACAAGAACCCTAGTTGCTTAGACGCGTGCCAAGGCCTGTGGAACGTTGATTTGCACGAAGAATCTGAGGTGGAGTTGAAGAAAACGGAGGAAAGGGTCTTGGAAGCAATCAGATTGTCGGAGGAGAGCAATGAAAGCCTTCGTTTGAGGGATTTCAAGTTTCTGCTTGCCCATATTCGAGAGCTCGAGGGAAAATACGATGAGGCATTGGAGTTATATCATGAGCTAGAGAAGGAGGAGCCAGGTGATTTTCGGATATATTTGGCTCGTGGTTTTCTGTACTTTTTGCTGAAGAGGAAAGACGAAGCTAAGGCAAATTTCGAGAAGTTCAGGGAATTGGCCCCGGAAGGGAGCATAGGCGGACAGTATCTTGACAATGGTAGTTTGAGTAAATTAATAAGTTCTACCCATGATGAGAACGACTGAGGTGCGTGTTTTTCGCTAATGATTTTATTTTATTTTTTTCCTGACTTGGTGTTTGTTCAATGAATAGGAAAAAGTCATGCGGAATCCATTGATGGGTTATCTTGGTCTTTTTGATATTGTTATTTGAACAGTTTGTGTTTGTACTCGACGCGTGTAGTGTAGTACATTCAAATTCGACACATGATCTCATTGACAACAATGATATATAGTTATGATGATGATTCCGTGATTTTTGTAAAATACCACATTGTTCCCTAAAGCTTGTAATGATCGGTAACGCCACCAACGATTAGGCTGCCTCATGCAAGAATTTGTGTGGTGCAATATGGTATTCTCCTAAATTTCCTTTATTTGTCATTCGACAATATTGAGAAGAAATCAAAATGATGACAAGGTTGAGGTAAAAAATAAAGTTATTGTTTACTTTTAGAGGTAAAGGATTTGCAGTTTTTTCCATTATTTGACTTGGCAAGTTGATTGAACATGGATGTGAACATGTGCAGAAACAAGAATTCAAGAACTGCTCGTGCAAGAAATGCAGTGGCTTGAGATAAGAAATCGACGCAATTGGTAATTCGGTCGAGAAGTTTTTGATAGTTCTAAGTTCATGAACAAAATACTAAAGTCAATAATCAATCATTTAAACCAGCTAAAATTTGCAGATGCCATTCACAGGGAATCAAATAATGTAGTAAACTGAAAAATGATTTGAAATCCCTTCATTGGGAAACTTATTATGCACCATAGCGCCTCTACATTACTACACTGAAGATGATGAGAGTGTTGGTGACCATAACTGAGCATTTTTCACCTTACAAATGCTCGTAAGCACCCCTGAAGGAGTAATTTTCCCATTTACAGTCACCTTCTTTGCTGCAAAATCTATGTTGTAAGATGTCACACCTGCATGAACATTTAAGTGTCTATAGTTATTTAAACAGATGAATAAAATTGTAGAGTTTTGGCTCGATTATGAGACGTTGCAGAGTGTTTTCTTACGTTGTCAAACTATAAAATGCCCCTACAAAATTTCACCTCTATGAAGTTTGTGTTCACCTAACTTATACAATTTTTTTTCTCTTTTAGTGTCAAGAACCATCTTATACAATTTTGTTCCCTTTCTAATTAGCCAGAGTTTTTTAATTGACTATTCACATATGCAATTATGGATTAAGCTCAATAAATTTAGGGATGTTATATACATCATATAGATTAAGGTCATTTTTATCTAATTTATAATTTAGGAGGTCTATAAATTCTCTTCTATTATTGTGAATCTTTTGTAATACACAAGATTTAATAGCTAAATCACTAAAAAATGAANTAATTTGAAAACCAAGTTTGGGGTAAACAAAAGAAAATGAACTATAAGAGTTTTTCCAAAAATGTTTGTGGCAGTAAATTGACTAATTCTAATCATCAATCATCACATGTATCAGGTCATTTATGTTTATGAATCTGGATTATGTGAACAGGAATTGGGTAAGAACTGGTTGTTGGAAATTCAATTACAAAGCATATCATTTACTTCTATGGTCCCCAAAATAATCCAACAAAAATGGTATGTAATGTACCAAATTAAAAAGAGCAGATAGGATAACAAAGAAAATAAAAACAATGGTGACCAATTATTTAATTTAATACGATACTACACTTTACTTACCATCCATTCTAGAGAGATGCTTTCTCAATTTTTTTTCACATCCTCTGCAATGCAATGACACCCTCAGAACAACCACCTGAAAAAAATAATAATAGTAATAAATGCATGACCAATGTTCAATTTTCATGCCCAATCTTTTTGAAAGTGTATTACAAAACTTAATCCTTCAATTTGATGAAAATTTCAAATTCCAGAAAATTGCTGACAATCCAATTTCGAGCTCGAAAAACAGAGTTATTTTGTCTCCAAAAGCAAAATACACTACAATGACATGATCTCTTTCGATTTCCTTAGATGAACACAAAAGAATGGAGGTATTTTAATGACGGCAATAATACTAGTTGGGAAAAAAAAAAAATCAGGCAAAATCCAACAGATACCACTGATGACCTACTCAAAAACAATGACCAAACACAAATCGAAAGCAAAAAAGCAAAAAAAAAAAACCTGTTCTGGAGCATGAGACGGCGAAGGAGACGATTGTTTTTCCGCAAACAGAAATTCCTCCATTTTCTCCGCATCCTTAGGAATTTCCTCGACCGGCGAGTTTTGATCGAAATCGGACAACGACAAGGCGTCAAGAACACCTTTCTCCCTCAACAAGTACCTCGTGGAACCCGGAGGGCTGATAAAATCACCCAGATTCATGCATTTCCAGCTCCTTCTCACCAAACTCCCGCCGGGGAGTTTATCGTCCTCGTTTTCCTTGAGCAGCTGGATTTTCCTGTTCTTCTTCTTAGTGTGAAGGATTTTTCGAGATTTGGGGACAGCGGGCGGGTCGGAGCGGCTGTTGTAGGGTGGGGGAGGTTTGGGGGTGCGATTTGGGTCTCGGAGGATGGGATTGTGGCGGTCGATAGCGGCGCCGCCGCGGGCGGCGGAGGCGGCGAGCAGGGAGGCGGTGGAGTTGGAGGAAGGGGTGGACGACGGCGATTTCTCGTCCGTGCTGAGGCAGATTGCTGTTGCTGCTTGTGAGGAGCATAATATATCGATTTTCTTCATTTTTTTTGTTTTCAAAAAAATGAAAGGAAAATTAAATGGAATCGAATTTTGTTGGGGAAATAGAGAGGTTGTGGGGGACCGGGAGGTAGCGCTTGCAACCGTTTCTTCTAAAATTCGTACTAAAAAAAACGAAAAATGATAATTAACATAAAAAAGTGTATATTTGCACATTTATTAGTAATCTATATCTATATCTATATATATAAAGAGTTGTTGGAAAAATACATTAATAGAAATTTTGACCAAATAAAAATAATATTTGACTTACTAATAATGGAAAGTTCAAAAAAACACATGTGAATCTTAAGTAACAAAATCTAAATCCTATTTTTATGGTAACAAATTTGGAGATTCTTATGGCAAAATTTGAATCTCATTTTTTGGTATCATATTTTATTGTTTTAACCAAAATTTAAATAATCTTTTTTGGTAACAAATTTAGAGATTCTTATGCAAAAAATATGTCAATTGTTTATGAAAACAATTCTAAATACAAATTAATTTAAAAACCGTGCAAATTAGATACAAATTTAGGAAGCAAATAGTTGTATAATTCTTAATCAATTCTTCCAATCTTATTGAATACTTTTTTCTTTCAAAAAAATTGTGTAAATTGGATAAAGACACGTGCAATTTTTATTTTAAAATAAGATTGATATTTGGATGGGATGTACATTCAAAATTGTGTCCACAATTGTTGGTAACAATTGTGGTTCATCATTGATATTTAACGTCATCTTATCCAATTATTTAGGAAAATTTGTGTGCAACTTTTCAAAATTTAAATGCATCGATTTTTTTGGATTCTTATGTTTTTTTTTAACCATGTTTTACGGAGATTTTGGTAAGTTCATATCATTTTCTTTAGAAAAAAGACAATTGTATAAACATTAACAATTTATTTTAATTTTTTATTAAAATTACTTTCAATTCAATTTGTTTGGTACAAAAATTGGTGCAATGTTAGCAAAATTCGGTTGCATTTTTAGGAAAAATTGAAGATTTTTTTATTTGATTTAAAAAAATATTCGGATAAATTTGTTTGATAAAAAAAATCGGTTTATTGGTAGGAAAATCGGTTTCATTTCCAAGAGTAACTAATGATTCTTTTCAATTTTTCTTAATTGAAATTTAGAATTATATTTAAATAAATAATGAGTGAAAATCCCTAAAAAATTCTACTTTTGTTTCTACTTTAATTTTGTTTAATAAATAAGATCCTTTAATTTTTTTTTAAATTTATTAACTAATAACTAATAATATGCAACTTTGGATAAATTCGAACACCTATGTAGTAGTTTACGTGACAAAGAATCAAATCAATAATGTTGTACATAAGGAAGTGTTTAATAACATATAAATTTCATTTTCATGAAATTTTTAATGGCATGAGACAATTTAAATACAAAACTACCTTTTAAGAAAAAATAGGTAATAAATGTTTCCGTGCATCGCACGGGTACCGTACTAGTAAATGGAATAGGATAATTTTATTCTGTCTAGCATAATGGTGGAATAGGTTGTCTTCAGTGCATTTTATGAACCTATTAGGAGAATCAGGTTCTTACAAATTATTAGGGGTATCCAAACGTAAAAAATTGCGTAATTATATTATTAAATATCATTTTTTTTTATTTTTATTATTTTGTAAAGTATAAAATTAGTTTCATATTTTTATTTATAGTATTTATTAAAGTAGTATATTTTATAATAAAAGTATGTAAATTTGAATAAAGAGTGTCGGCATAGCGGTAATTATATAAATAATATCATATTTTTATTTATAATATTTTGTAAAGCATGAACATTTTTTAATAATTATATAAATTTGAAAAAAAAAATGCTTGTCTAATTGTATTTATCTAATTAAAAGTCATACTTTTAATTATATACTACATCTTATTCTTTTCAATTATTTTTTTATTTATAATATTTTGTAAAGCATGAACACTTTTTAATAATTATATAAATTTGAAAAACAAAATGCTTGTCTAATTGTATTTATCTAATTAAAAGTCATACTTTTAATTATATACTACATCCTATTCTTTTCAATTGTCATTTTGGTTTTATGAACTATTAACCCCTATCGTTCTGGCAAAAAAAAAAAAAAAAAAATTAACCAAATAAATGACGTTTTGGATCTTTGTAAATATTTTTCTATTATTACCCTTATTTAGCAAATTAATACACTACGGCTTTTCATATCCACTCTTAATTTTCAGTAAAGAGGGTTATTATTGACAAAAAAAAATCTTAATTATTGTGGAACTTCTCAAAACGACATATGTTATGAACATGAGGTAGTATCTTTTAAAGTATGGACATTTATATTAAAAGTAAGTAAAGTTGTAATAAAAAAAATGTCGGTCTAATAGTTAAGTTAGCATAAGAGAAAGCTTAATGTTTGAGAATATATTAAATACATTGATTTTGGCAATATTTAGAAATTCAAAAGAAAGGTGAAATTTCTCATAAGAAATTAATCAATTTGGTAAACAGAATTTTGATAGAATATTTGCTAAATAAGCAAAACAAAAACAAAATTTGAGAAATTTATCCGGAAGAAAAAATAAAAATAAAAATAATGATATTTTTATTTACTGAAATCTGACTGCAGTTTAAACTTGAATGGGTGGGCCAAGTGGCATGGCCAACAAATACTGACAAAGTCACAAAACAATAGGTAGAGTTAATGCAAATAAATAAAAGTAAAACTATACATTAATTTTAGAGCATTGCATAAGATAATCAGACAAGTGTAACGGTTACAAATTAGCGGCCTTCAAGGACAAGTACTGTGCTCCAGTGCTGCCACTCAATTATACTATTACCATCATTGTTTGATAGTATATTTTGATTCAATGGTAAAAAATATCTAGAGACTGCGTTGATATTAAACGAGCACTACAGTGAACTTTTCTTTTTTCTTTTATTTTTGCCTTTGAGGGCTCGTTTATTTTGAGGGATTAGATTGATAAGATGAATTGTCCCTCAATATCCCTTGTTTACATTAATTGATTGGGACATGATTATATGAGTTGGAATCACATGTGGCGGCGGGGCCCACGTTGAAATAATGTGTTGGCCGATTATTTTCATCCCACCAAGAAGAGGTGATTAATTAATCATACACTGTTCAACACTTTTTTGTCCTCAAAACTGGATGCAAATGGACCATTATACCCCTCAAAGTTGATTTAATTACTAAACACACCATAGTCTTATCCCATCCCTCAAAGTAAACATGGGACTAAATGCTGACATGTAAAGGTAACCCGATTATTTAGTCTTATCCCATCCATCAAAGTAAACGAGCCCTGAGAGAACACAGATTTTTGTGTAATTCGATCTATTCAGACTTACTATTAGAACATGTTTATGATATGAATAGTTATATTTCTATGTATGTTATTATTTTGGAGTTAAATTATTTTACCATATTTGTTGAAAAGTATGTTTATCTATTATGTGTGCGTTACAATTGCATTAATTAATGCACATTTTCTACAATCACATAGTGAATTTTAATTTTCAGTGAAATTTTCTACCATTAAAGTTACTAGGCAGTTGCTGCCTTACTCGTAATTCTATCTCTTTCTTTTCAAGTTCAACTACTCCATATACGAGAATCACTAAGACCAAATCAAAACAGAATATATAAACGTGTGAGTGAAACCTTTTGACGTTTGCATATACATAATCATGAGAAGCACCATAAATAAAAGTTGATTCAAAACTCAAGAATGTATGTTTCTTGAGATCTTGCGACTATGTTTAGTATACAATAAGCTAACTTATAGCTTATTTGGTTAACTTATAAGTTTCCTGTTTTCAAATAAATTTCGTTTGGTAGGACAAACTTTTCTTTTGGACATACGCGGTGAACATTGCTGATAAAATGTTCATCAAAGATATGAATGCAATAAGTTAAAGTGGAACGGCTAACTTACAAAAACACGCTCTCAATCTGTACAAGCTATTTTTTTTTTTCCTTTGGGCTGTTCTTCATAATTAATTAGTTCTCCTTTCCTTCATCTTCATTCAAGATCCGATTTCGAAAATCGTCTACCATGCGAGGCAACCCTTCTCGTAGGGAAATCTTTGGCTCCCAGTTGAGAAGATCTTTTGCTTTGGTGATATCTGGTTTTCTCTTATGAGGATCATCGGCAGTGTTTGGTTTGAATTCGATTGTGGCACTGGGATCAATAGTTTCTTTCACAACCTGTTGTGTTTCATGACGATAAATAGCCCGTTCATTCAGAAATGAGAATATTCTAGATTCTGTATGTGAAGAATAATAATCCAAAAACTGTCCCACATGTTATAGTTCAAGAAAAGAAAAAGAGATCTAATTCTGTGTGTGTGTAATTCGTACAAAATAAATACATATCAAGGGATAGATATAATTTTGAAGGAAAAAAAATGTTTTCATTAGGTTATGGTTGTGTTTGGTAAGCATATAAGCTAGTTTAAAGTTTATTTGATTAGTTTATAAGCTTCCTGCATTCAAATAAGCTTGGTTTGATAGGACGAGCTTTTTTAAAAAGCTAGAGCTTATCTCATAAGCTTCCTTCCTTGGGTAGCTTTTCAAATAACCCCATTGAAATTTTTACTTCAACTAGCACTTTTATCATGTAACTAGCTTATCACATAAGTTTACCAAACATAGCCTATACGTGTAGTAGTTTTGGTAGTTAACTTAAAAAAGTTTAAGAAGAAAGATGTCATTAATAGAGAAAAAATGAATTTTCAAGGACAAACCTCAGCAAGCTCCAACATGGTGAATTCTCCCGGGTTACCCAAGTTGAATGGGCCGATATGTTCACCCTCCATCAACGCCACCAGTCCATCCACCTGATAACCCCAGATTATATAAACAAGGATTCACGTAAGTAAATAGAATGAATATATCCTAATTTATATTTTCAAACGAATGAAGAATTTTACTTTGTTTCTGTTTCACATAACTTGTACTTTGCAGTCGTCTGAACGAATGTTATTAATAAAGGCATTGCAAGCAAGTGAAAGTAGAATTCAAATTGGCTGAATCCTAATGTCATTATCAGCATGTGGTTAACAATTCAAAAAGCATTAAGCTCGTAGGTGTCTAAAAGTTCTAGCTCTCAGCTTCATATCTAAAAGGAACTTAACATGATTATAGTTAAGGGTGAAGTGAACCTATACACTATACAGTTGCATAAAGGAAAAAAAGTAGACATTGCATACCAAGTCAGACACATATTGAAAGCTTCGTGTCTGTTTTCCATCCCCATGGACTGTCATTGGTTGTTTTCGTATAGCCTGCATAACACAGCTTTGTATTACAAATTATAACTACTTTTAGACTTGGCCATGGTTAAATGTAAAGCTTTGTCCAGCGAGCGAAGAAAATTACAGGACGACAACTATAAGCCAACTTTAATCACTGTTTATAATCAATACTGATTAATATCAGTAGACAGGGCAACTTCTCAATTATCAACTTATAGACATAATATTCCCTGTATACCTAACTTTCAAAAATGCTTTCTTTAATAAAATAATAGACGAACAAAATTCATAAGTCATAACAAATCAGAGTGCCGTTTTGATGTTCATTGATTTATCCCCAATATAGAAAAGTAATTTCAACAGCATTCCACAAAACAAACCTGTGAGACGAAGTTGCTAACCACACGCCCGTCATCTAGACACATACGAGGTCCGTACGTATTAAAAATACGCGCAATGCGCACCTGTAGAAAGAAGAAAGATAACAAAGATATGCAAAAACTTAACTGAATCGAAGCGAATAGTTAAAAACAATCAGAATGCACAGTTAAAGCCCATATCGAATTTGTATATGCTAATAAACTGCCATTATAATTGATAACATCACAGATTAATATGAAGTAAAATAACAATTTCAGTAAAGATCATGAACAATGCCCAAAGAGAAAATCCCGTGTAGGTGATCTTACCTCAACATCAGCACCTCGATGATAATCCATAGTTAAGGTTTCAGCAGTTCGTTTGCCTTCGTCATAGCAGCTGCGTACACCTGATGATCAATTATCAAATGATAAAAGCGCATTCAAAACGGAAATAACTAAAGAAACAAGCAAACAAATACATTATTAACTTACCAATAGGATTCACATGCCCCCAATAAGTCTCCTTCTGTGGATGCTCAAGTGGATCACCATAAACCTCACTCGTACTAGTAAGAAGAAACCTCGCGCCTATTCTCTTCGCGAGGCCCAACATGTTAAGAGTTCCCATCACATTTGTCTTTTAATCACACAGTCAAGGATATCGACCAATATCAAATGCAATAAAACAGTAACACTTGTGCACTTTTCAGTTCTGAAAAGTACCAATACACATGAAAGTATACAATGCAACACAAATTATTCTAAAACAAGAACCATCAGACGCTCATACAATGCAACAAAAATATACAGAAAAAAAGGATATGATAGTTTTGACTGGATTATACTTGTAATGCACAGGGGAAGCAGGGCAGGCCAAGTGGTAGATCTGATCCACCTCCAACAGAATCGGCTCTACAACGTCGTGCCTAATCAGCTCAAACCTCGGATTACCAAATAGATGCACCACATTCTCCTTCCTCCCCGTGAAAAAATTGTCAATCACGATCACGTCGTCCCCCCTGGCGATCAGCTTATCCACCAAATGGCTCCCGACAAAACCGGCGCCGCCGGTGACGACTATCCTCCTCCTCTTCCTCCCAATCCCCACCGGAACCCGCCCCACCCCGTTCGAGTACCGATTGTAGCTCCCCTCTCCGGAAAGGCTACGGGAATCGACCGGCACCTCACGATCCCCAAAATCGGCCAGCGAATTGCGGCTGCCGGAGGAGATCCGAGGCCTTCGGTCCGCCGAGGATAGGATCGAGAGAGACGGCTGGATGATGAAGAAGGTGGAGCCGATCAGCACGCCAATGAGGATGAAGAGGAGGCGCTGCTCGCAGAGGATATAGCTGAGGGATCTGTGGAGGGACCGGTGGTGTTTTAGGGATTTGGGGGAGTACGGCGGGGTTTCAGAGAAGGGCATCTCCTCGTCTTTCTTGGTGGTGGGTTGCTTGTGCAGTTGCTTCATGGCTTCAGAGATTGGAGAGAGAGAGAGAGAGATTTGGAGGTAAAACGGAGATGGGTGGAGTGAAGAATACGGGCGGAGGAGGAGGACTAGTGCGGTGGCGCGTGAGCACGACTAGTGCGGTGTACAGTGTGCATAGAGTAAAACTGAAAGTTTCAGACTTGAAGTTAGTGCGTGCGTGTGAGAGAGAGATTTGGGCTGGGCCAATCTATATCTATATATATATAATTGCTAGCTAATAGCATTTAATAAAACATTTAATAAAAATATTTTCACTTTCCCTCCAAAAGGAGTTACATTTTTTTAATTAATTACTCATTAATCTCACATTTAAGAAGATTTCTTATAGTTAAATTTAATTAGTTAATGACTAAATTAAAAAGATTTATTTTAATTAATCCCACATTTATGTCAAGTACAGTATTATCGTAATATCTTATCAGTTTTTTTAAAAAAAAATAGTAACTTTTTTCAATAAATTTTATAAAAATTAGTTAAATGTGCTTATATTCATATAAATCAGGAAAAAAAAATCTTAGATATATAAAAAGAACATCGTTGAAATAACTTGAATCCACGAAAAAAAAATTAAACATACGTAAAAAAAATTCTGACTGTGATTAAATATAACAAAAGGGCCTTAATCGGCCTCTTAAAATCACGATGCGGGCGGTTCCAGTCCATTGGAAGCTAACCCTAATGGAAAGCTCATGATACGAGCTTTTTTTTTAAAAAAAAACTCAAGAAAATACATATATTTACAGATCTATTACAGATCTTTAAATTTTTTATTTATATAAAAAATTAATATTATATTTACTCATTTATATTTAGATGGTATTTTTTTTATTAAGAAGCAAGGACAATCTCTATCAATCAATAAGAGTCAAGGACAAACAATATAAAGAAGTGTTTCCTATGCTATGACATGATCAATAAGAGTCAAAGATAGTCTCTGTCGCACGTCGGCTTACTACTGAAGAGCTCAGCATTTAGTCATGAGCAATTATACGTGACGCTTTTTAGAGTTACGAGTCAGTGGGGTTTGAAGATTTTGATTTGAGCTGAGAGAGATTTTGACGATAGAAAAACCACAACGTTGTTTTATAAAGAAGTGTTTAAGAATATTTATATTTTTTTCTTAATTTTTGTCAATGATTTTATTATGATTTTTTACTATTGTTTATAATTTTTATTATATTATCATGTATTATATAGTTTTCCGTGCAAATGCACGGGACAAAAACTAGTTGTCTTGAACTTGAAGCTACAATAAATCGGTCTACTAATAAGAGAGAAAAGTAGACATGGCCCAAGTTAGGATGGAGTTTGGTTGCTATTTTTCAGGCCCAAAATACCAGCTAGATGAGAAAATAACATAAAAAAATATTTGTAATGGGGGTGAAACGAAAATTCTCGACCACAGTGGGAGTCGAACCCACGACCTTCTGATCCGAAGTCAGACGCGCTAATCCACTGCGCTATGCGGTCTTCGATTAGTGACGTTACTAATAAATATTGATTGTACATAGTGAAATTTAATCCACCCTCCTTTTATTCTTTATTATCTATATATATATAATTGCTAGCTAAGCAATAAATTTTACCTAATAAATAAAACTTAATAAATTTTACCTATGTGGCAAATCATTAATAAAATCTAATAAATAGAACCTAATAAATTTTATTTATGTGGCATTAATACACCCAATCTCATTAATAAGAAAATATTTCATTACATTTTTTTGGGTTAATTAAGACAAAAATCATTATATTTTATGTTAATTGATTAATAATTATATTTTTTATTGAATAATATAATACTTAATATTAAAATTAGTAATTATTTTATACTAAATAATATATGAAAGTTACATAAAATCAATATTTTTTTATATGATGAAGCGGTTGTTTATTAATAAATTAATTTTTTTTATGTCATAGTAAAATTTCTTAAAATCACATAAGCAATTGTTATAATAAATGTAATATTTTTCAGCTAATTAATTGGTCATGATCACTCAAAATTATAAAAAGTATATATATTCACTATATTTTATGCGATCAATATAGTGATTCGTATACAATCAAATCGTGTGTACTATTTATTTTAACCAATGATCAAATTTTAAAATATAATACTATTATATAATTTATAATTTTAATATTATATACATAAATATAACTTATAATATTATATGTTTGAAATATAATACAATTATATAACTTATAATTTTTATATTATATACATAAATATAACTTATAATATTTAATTTTATTTACGTCTGTGCAAATGTACAAGGTCGAATACTAGTTATTACTAACAGAAGTCAAATGAATATTAAATTTTAGGTTCCTCGCTCATAAATAATTGAAAATATTTGTGATTTCTTAGAAACCAAAAGGTTAATTTATTTGTGAGAATTAAAATTCAAATCCTTAACATTTTTGTAGTCCAATTCTGGGAGTGATGATAAATAATCTTTAAATAACTAATAATATATAGCTCAGTCTTCTTGCATTTTGTATTTGTGTTGCTTGTATTTTCTTCATACTTTTTTTCCCTCTAATTATGTATGAAATGCCTGGCAAAACTATAAATCTATTACTATATAATACGGAGAAGAAAAATTATTTGAACAATCCGAAAATAATCATTTCGTTTTCCCGCTTCAATATAGTGTTTTTCCCGCTTCTTCAATTCGTGAATTTTTTTTTGGATTTTTTTCAGCCCATGCAATTAAGAAACCAATCAAATCGAATCTTTTAGCATTCAATTTGGTAAGATGTTCCGATTTTAGCATTCAAATCCGATTTCACTTCCTTTTTTTATGCCAATCAATCCAATTTTTTTGGTTGTTTCAAAATTTGTTTAGATTTATATTTTTATTTTATTAATATATTTGGAAGAGAATCAATAAATGTTTATCATAACTTTTATTTTAAAAATAAATTTGAATAAGCATACCTTTTACTTTATATGAAATTCAAAATTACATATTTTAATATATTAATAAACGTTTATTATTTATTTTTTCCTTATGTGATATAATAGAATTTCGGTATTAAATTTATAAATTCAAACATTTAAAAGAAAAGATTCCAAATAATTTTTTTGGGTAAATTTCATTTTATCTTGGTTTTCATTATCACATTTCTAACAAACTAATTAGTATTATATTTTTTTATATACATTATCTAACCGATTTTTTATGATACAATTAATATAATATCTTAACAAATTAATCATTTGTCTAACCGGATTTATCTCTCTAACAAACTTGCCAATTTTTTTTAAAATTAAAATGGTATGATTATTCTTATGAGATACTTATCAATATATTAAATATTTAGAAACTTTTTTTAATTAATGAGTTATCCCTCCTTTTACTTTATTTGAAATTCTGACTTATATTTTTAAATATATTATTATTTATTTTTTTACATGTAAATATTTATTATTTATTATCTAAGTGATAAATATTATTGATTTATCTCTTTAATAAATATTTATTATTTATTTTTTTTCCTTACGTGATATAATGTAAATTTGGTTACTAGATTTTTAAATTCAAACATTTAGGAAAAAACCACGAACAAATTTTTTGGTTACATTTCATTTTATTTTAACTTTCATATAATCACAATCCTAACAAACTAATTAGTATAATATATTTTTACCCATTTTTATATAATCGGATTTCTTAAAATATAATTAATATAACATTTTAACTATTTAATCATTTGTATAACTTGATTCAACTCATTATCAAACTTGCCAATTTTTTTTTTGAAATTAAAAAAAAAAATTGGAAAGTTTTTATTTGTAAAATAATAAAAAATAGCTTTACTTTAAAGTCTGGATTATTTCCATTATTTTTTGTACGTTAACAATCATATATTTTGGATTATTGATTTAAAAAAACAAATCAAAACCGTAAGGTTTAATAATATTCCTTAAATAAAAAATATTGTATAAAGAAAAGTATTTAATATTATATATTTTTCATTGATTGTATTTATTTTATTTTCATAATAGACGAGATGTGAAAAATATAAATAATTATATTTAAAATAAAGTCTAAAAAATGTTTAAAATATGAACTCTTCCGTGCATCGCACGGGATATACATTAGTTATATTCAGTAATTTGGGACATATTTCTCTAGTAATTTTTGCAATTTAAGAAAATATCCTTTAATTAACAAATTGAGCAAAACATATAAAAAATGCAAAAAATACCCCTTAGCTAATTGTGAAAAATAGAAAAAAATATCCATTGATTCACATGTTTTGACAGGATTTTGAAGATTTAATTAGTCAGTGAAATTTTTGCTCAATAAACATACACTATATATACAAGATCTTAACTCAGCTGATCTGATCCAAAATGCATATGTATAATTATCAAAAGATTATTTCTTTTATTGATTATTAAACTACCAATTTAAATAATTATCATGAAGAAACGAGATAAGCTCACATACATAAAGATTTGTCATAGGCAATATCATCACATATATCCCGTAATACAAACTATATAATAAAATAAAACAAGTGGCGATGAAATAATATCAACACTATAATTTCTGCTTGACATTTAATTAAGATTGAAAATCTATGCACTTGGAGTAGGGGTACCATATAAGTACGGAACACATTTGTTTTTTTTCATTTATTTATTTTGTTTGCATAGTACTATTCCACATAACAGCGATTTTTATATATTTATTTATATATTTGTTTGTTTTTCTACTAAATATATTGCTCTAACCATAGGTCCATAAGAATGTAAAATCAAGCTGAACAGTAATGAAAAAAAAAATAATAACTTTTTTTGGTTCCATTACTTTTTATACTGACTGGTTTTATGATGTATAAATCGAATAATTGAATATATATGCACTTCATATGTATTTAATTTTAATAAGTACGTACCAAACGAAACTTATAGGACCTACATGTGTGCTATAGAAATAATTGAACATGTGATGGAAAATCCAAGAAATTCAATTGAAATTATTAGCAATCTCAACTAACTCATATGAAATTTATTTGGTCCCAATTGGGGAAATCAATGCATTCTTTTTTTTTAAAAAAAAAAAATATAAAATGATAATTGGCGTATCTAAATAGCTAGGCAAGATATTTAATTTAACTTTCTGAATATTTAGTGAATAAAGACAAGGATATTCGAGCAACTTGGTTGATATTGATATGAGACAAGGACAAAGTGCTAAATATAGCTTTACCATAATGAACTTATACTGTTAAAAAAAAATATATTTATCCATGACAATGCAATAGTTTGCTTTCTTGTTTTTAATTAATTGGGTTTTTATTATAATCCATTCCATTGATACGATGGTACAAATGCAAGTTCGAAGAAGTTTCTTCACAAGTTTATATCATTGTATGAAAAGGAAAGGACGACAAAATTTTGATGTGATTGGCGAATAAATTGTCTTTCTCTTTTGTTGATTGGGAAGAAAATCATGTGTATCAGACTATAAGTGTATCTTACATGAGGCCTCAGTGTGATTTTGGCCTGAAATATATATATATATATATATATAGACAAAAAGTATAGTTGTAAAGATTAATGGAATGTAATTTGAAAAAATAGAGCTAAACTCGAATTTCTGAGACTAATTATATTAGTGGATTGAGTTTTTATCATAATTGATTTGGGCTTAATCATTAATTAAAGGAGCTAAATGCACCAACTTGGATCGTTTATCTAAATTAACACGCTTAATTTGAATTTTAACAAGTAATTAATCTCGAGTCGAGTTAAGTTATGAGTTCAAAAATTAAATAAAAGTTATTATTTTTCGAGTTTTATCGAGCAAAGTCGAACTCGACCAGTAAATTAGCTAAGTTGTCATATATTGTCATTTTAATCCCCAAATCATGTTTACGGTTTGGTCTTTTCATTCAAAAAATGTTGAATTGCTCCGAAGCCCTAGAGCTTTTATTTACAACATGACAATCCTCCTTGAATTAGTGTCATTACGTACAAAACTTAATTATCCAAAGCACATATTATCAAATAAATAAATCGTAGTTAAAAACCGGCCCTCTTATCAAAACAATATATCATCTATCAAAACAGTTAATTAAACCCTAACTCAAGATAATTAAAAATTGACAAAAGTCAGAAGTCTTCCACAATTTGAGCTAATTAATGTTACATAGATTTCTTTTATATTGCTATATTATTAATCTATCATCTCAGTTGCAACTATATATAAGCAAATGAGGATATATATAATGTTTGCTGTTACATGAAGTCAATAAGTTTGAACTATTACTATTAATATTGGCCGTACATATGTATTTCAAGATGGCCATCAGCATCAAATGAAGTACATTAGATAATTCCANTGAAGTTATGATCATGTGTTTGCAAACAAGTTCAGCTCATTTAAAAAACGAGCTAGATTAACTGCTCGAGCTCGGATTCGATTCAATAAAGTTATTTTGTAATCAATTCATCAAATGTTAGACTAACACCCAAATATAAAATGTTTTTTCAAAAAAAAAAAAATAAAAAGGAAAAGGAAAAAATTCCCAAAAAAAAGATAAAGCAGAGGAGCAGGTTTCACAAATATTATTATAGATCCTCCGAACAAAAACCCAGCTTTTTCCTTGGATAAACGGTGAAAACACACTTTTTCACATTGACTTTTATAGATATAACTACGTACATCAAATCAATATTATTGCTGGATAGTGATAGCACAATAAAAAAAGCTATATATCTTTTTCTTTAATTTTGTTTTTTGTCCAATAAATTGTTGTACATATCAAGCTTTTCAAAATGGAAGGCCAAATTTTCATACATCTTCCTATTATAGATTATCTTGTTGCAACGTGACATCAACATTGATTTTGTGCTAGATTGTACTGTCTTAATTTGGTTGAACCTAGCAACTTATTAATAAAGTTGAGAGTTAAAAATAAACGACGGATTAAGTTAAAACACATTAGACATAAATCAATTCAAAATAAAGATACATTGGTCAATAAAGATGTTAATTTCACCGTAGCTTACGAGCTTGTCAAGATACATTACAAGATCTGAAAATAGTATTAAGTTTTTTTAGGAATGTTATTCAAGCTTAACCAAATTCAGGGCAGTCTCCAGAAATTTGGAGGTCCTAGATAAGTTTCTCTTTTTCGAATTTCCCGATTTAAACTTGCGTGGTAATTAACTATTTGCAGATAAAATCATAGAAGAAAAAAATCTAATTAAAAAAGACTATTAAATAAATAAATAAATAATTAAAGAAAATAATTTTCTTGTTTTTCTAGACCTTGGAAATGATAAATTACCTATGGGTTACAAATATCTTTAATAATTTACATTCAAGCAGTCATTAGAACAACAACGAGAAGAAAATAAAAACCATATAATTGCAAATAATATTTATTCTAACCGAATATCTTAAAAAAACAAATGAAATATTTAGGGCCTC